AGCATCATGTCCATTTTCTCCAGACGCCGCTTGAGCCTCTTGGCCTCGCGCTCCCGGATGAGCCGCGCCTGTCGCTTCTCTGGGGTCTCGTTCGCGCGTTTCAGTCGCATGGCTTCGCGCTGCAGCCGCCGTGCCCGCTGTTCGTCTGTCTCTTGCATGCGCTGCAGTCGCTTGGCTTCTCGATCCCGCATACGCCTCACCTCCCGCTCTTCGGGTGTCTCATTGTCCCGCCGGCTCTTCTTGGCCATGCGCTCCCGCTCCAGACGCTGCAGCCGCACTTCCAGGGGCTCGTTCTGCCGGCGAAGGGCCCACTTCCGCATGCCGGGCGTCTGTGCCTCCAGCAGCTTACGATAAGCAGCGCAGTTGTTGCACACTAGGAGGATGCCTGCAGGATACACAGGGGGGTGAAAGGCAATGTCTTTCCCCTCCACGCCGGGGGGGCCCTCGCTCTGCGGTGCCGGCAGGCAATCTGCACTGAGCACCTCTGGCAGCTTCTCACTGGAAAGCAGAAAGAGCAGAGAGTCAGAGACTGGTGCCGACGGAGAGTCCCCACCTCAGACTGCCCGGGGGCTGCAGTGAACAGTGCCCCTCCTACAGCCCACGGCAGAGGCCTCTGGTCACCATTCCTGCCCACAGACACGTCTGAATATCTAAAATGAAGCAACATCACATCCAGGGTAGGAAGGAGGGGAGCTTGGAGCAGTGTCTGGGCTGGCAGGGTGCAGGAGCAGGAATCAGCCAGCAACCTGCTCCTCCCCATCATCTCTGGGCTTCTCCTTTCAGCCCTATTCCACCAGTCTGTCGATAATACTCCACCAGGCAGGACACCAAGAAGGAACACTTTGGTTTCTGCCCGTAGTCCTGCTCTGGAAAGGAGGAGCCCATCCGGGCAGTACAGACCCACTCTCACAGATTGCTGGGCAAGGGGAGCAGCTGGTAGTTCTCCAGTGGCTGGAGACCCCAGCGCTTTCTGCACAGTCCTAGCTCCTCTCCGGGCTATGGAACCCTTCCAGCAGCACAGCCCACGGGGGTCTGCGCAGGTGACACAGAGCTGCAGGAAAAGAGGGATCCAGGGAACCTCGCTCGCTGGGGGTGTTCGCAGCTCTCCTATACGGGCCCTAGTGGGTCTAGAGCTGTGGCTTCTGTGTCATTTCAGGCAGCCCAACAATCTTTAATGTGGGGCCCCTAGCCCACTCACCAGCCAGGGTGACCCTGACCTGTGGAACGTGGCGTGGCTGGTGAAGCGTGCTCCACACACTGCACAGTTTGACAGCTGGTCCTCCGAGTGGATCAGGAGATGTCGCCCAAGGGATCCTGGTGAGCTGAGGGCTCTGCCGCACACGGGACACACGTAGCTCTTGGCGCTCACCACAGCTGCACTGTGCTGAGAAACAAGCACCGGGTTGTTAGGTACCAACTGTCCAGCTCCCGGCCCAGCCCACATGCTCAGCAGATACGGCAAACCGTTCCGTTCAGCCTCCTGGAACGGGAACGCTTTACTGCTAAACCTCTGCCTGACAGCTCCTAGAGCAAGCTCAAGGCATCTGGGGTGTCACAGGTCAATCAGCAAGGGGGAAACCTTTCTACAGCTCCACTCCGGTGCAAGAGAAACAATTAAGGCCAAAACACTTGGACCGTAAGACCTGACCCTTGTTTTCAGAAATGCATCTGAGGAGCTGCTGTTGCTGGACAAAGCATGACTGGACTAACAGGAGGCAGGATGCTGGGGAGGAAGCACCCAGATGGAGACAGTCAGCTATTGCTGGTAAGTGGCCAATTCAGCTCTGCTTCATTCCTTCGTTTGCAGATGTGCTGCAGAGAGAGCACTGACAACAAAACCCATGAGATTCCAGCACAGATTTCCTGCAATACTGGAATAATTTCAGAGGAAGAGCAGCTATTTTCATGGATAGGAACTGTGATAAAGGTACAAAATAAAGAACTGAGTGATTAGGAGGAGAGTTTCTTATCTCACTGAATGATGCTTCCATGTTTAATCTGAAGGAACTGCCTGGTCTTAGCCTGCAATGGCTTGCAGAGACTGCCTTGGGATAGTGTGGTGTTTTCCAGATCTGCAGAGTGGTGCCCTACTGATTCTTTCCCCAGGACACCCCCTGGACACAGCTTACTGCTGTAAGTGTCCATCACATCCTGGCTAGAAGCTCAGGTCTGTGACTGCAAAGGCCAGAATAAAGCCATCCTGTGCTTTGGGTTGTTTCTGAGTTCAGGGCTTAAGGGGCCTTGAGGGGCTTAAGGCCAGAGAAATCCCAGTCTGGAGCCATCCCCTACCTGGTAGACGTGGGCAATGAGCCGCTCTCTGCTCCCACACTCCAGCTGGCAGAGGGGACACTGTGACAGTCCCAGCATGGGGTCAGCACTCAAGCTCTCAGGCACCTGCAGGGAGGAAAAGCCACGCTGCATAAGGCACACAGATCCCTCACGGCCACCCACCCTCCCCTTTGGAGGAGGTGGGAGGGAGAAAAAGGTAAAAACCACAGTGGGGAGAGGAGGTGTTTGGACAGCACCCCTCTCTCGGGCGAGTCCAGAGCCGGTGCACACTTGCCTCGTTCTCCCTCTGCGGGGTTTCAGCCGCAGGTTGTTCTGCGTTCTCCAATTCCTTCTTCACTTTCACTGTTGAGCCATCCTCCTCAGATGTATGGGAAGAAACTTCATCCTGGGTGGTTTCCTCGTCATCACTGCCACCTGGAACATGAAGAGCAGTTATTCCGAGTGTCGGGACCCTGAGGGCAGCACACAGACCGTGACTGTCCCAACCAGCACCACCCGGGGCCTCTCCCACACACCCTCCGACCAGGGGTCCACGTCAGCCCAGGCTGGGCGTTACAGGGCTCTGCAGAGTCCCTGGACCTGGCCTCTCGCCCTGCCTTGCTTCACGGTCACTGCTGTGACCGCCCTGCTCCGGTGAGCTGGAACTGTGTCCCGCAGCGGGGCCGTGTCCCAGCCTGTGCCGCAGCAGCCCTCCGCTCTGGGCTCGCCGTCCCCCAGGGAGCAGCCCTGCTCCTGCTGATTGCCGACACCAGGGGCTAACCCCGTGATGGTCCCCAGAGTCCCCCCCGGTCACTGTCTGGCCGTTACTGGAAGGGGCAGAACTCACTGCTGCTGGAGTCGGGGTCTTGCAGCGGATGAATGGCTGTCCTTTGGTCCCCAAGAGCTCCAGGAAAGTTGTTCTTCATCATGGCTTGGCGAGCTTGCTCCTCCAGCCCTGCAAAGACTTGCTCCCCTGGCAGCCACAAGGACAAAGAGTCAGACAGGTGCTGTTCCATCGCTTTCACCACCAACGCTTCCCAAAAACATAACGGGTGCGGGGCTGCTCACCTGCACTGTGCAGAACCTCTGGAGTCACCTCTCAGAAAGTTTAAATGCTCAATAGTAACCTCTCCACTTGCCTACCCTGCAACACCAGCCTCTTACACCCACCGGTGCCAGCCTGGTCCCTCTGTCTAGAACAGTCTCTCTAGTGGAAACGTCCATTCTCAGCCTGCTCTCTGCATACGCAGCTGATTTGTAGGTTCTCAAGAACCACTCAAAGCACAAACGTGAAAATGCATAAGGAACATGCGGTGCATTTTTCACATAAAACAAAAGCTTTCGGAACAGAATTGTACCTTTTATGTAGGGCCACAAGTGGCATCAGTATAACCAGGGAACTGAATTCTTGATACATGGAGAGAGCACCAGTCCCGTTACAAGGATAGGGACGCTCCCACCTGCTAAACCATGTCAGCAGCTCTGCCCCACGTTCACACTCACCCGGCCTTTCTGGGGCTTCCCTCTCCATTTTGGGCAGTGCTTTAAAAAGCAGTAATTTATGGAAGATTTCAAAGACCTTCAGAAGTTTAATGGAGAGTGTGGGAGAAGAATTTTAGTTCCCAACAACTCCATGGAGGTTTCCAAAACCATGTGAAGGCATTAATCATTCTGTTTCTGCAGAGAAGACGAGAACACGACCCACGCAGGCTGAAGAGAGGCACTGAGAGGCACTAAATCCGTTTGGCACGGAAAGCAGCAGGTCCCGTTGTGATTTCTGTGACAGGTACCTGCAGGAGAAGCCATTCCAGCACCGAATGGTTCCATAGCCTGGAGTGCTGCTTCTGTGTCTGGAGCACAGCCTGGGGCGGTGGGTCCGAGACACAGGCTTGTGCAGAGCAGACGCCACACAACCACAGCGCCTCTCCAAGCAGCAGGATAAAAGCCCTGAGACCAAAACAGCATTGCAAGACAAAGCGTGGTGAAACGACGAAACCCGCAGAACACAGGACAGAGGCCAGCCTATGGCAGGAAACATGCCACCTGGGACAGAGCTACAAAACAGGACAGCCCAACGCCGCGGCAGCTGCGCACGGGAGCAGTTACGTGTGGGTTTTCTCCTCCCTTTCCCCTTCCAGATGGTTCATGTTTCCACCAAGCAGCAGCCTGGAGGATGGCAGGTGGGTTCCTGCTCGGATACACGGACTATGCAGACAGTCTGCAGGATTTTAAATGCTGTGATCTTTATACGGGGCCATTGGGGAGGGAACTCCTCCTCTCAGTAACACCAGCATCGATCGCAACCAGGAGAGCAATCGCGTCTGCCCGCCTTTCTGTACAACACACCCAGCACCCATCGATTCAGCGCAGGGCAGAGAGCCGTCAGCTCACAGCCAGAAACGCAAATCCTGAACCAGACCCGTGCTGTCAGCAGACGACATCTTGTGCGTTCACCCCCAGCCTGCACCTAAAAGGCATCACGGGACTGGAAAGACAAACTTTTAAAAATGCTATCTTTAGCTTTTTCAGAATTTCTTGTGTATTAAGCTAGTATTGTCTCCAAAAGAACTTGGGGAGAGTGTCCTGTTCATCTGCTGACGGACCAAGTCGTACTTTGATAAAGCCTTAGAGCGCTAACGTTTAACAGACCCCGGGTGACTGCACACACACGCTCACACACAGACACACCCCCACCCCGCCCCGCTTCGAACACACTGACACCCACTGGGAAAGGGAGGAAGAGGGGCAGCAGCTTTAGGATTGCTGCTGTCAGGGAGGGATGTTGTGCTCAGTATTGAATTCACAGACTCTTCTCCAGAAGTTTCTTTATTAAACACACAAAGGGCTGCGGGCTGACCACAACACCAAAGCACGTCACTGTATTCGTTTTACAAACAGCTGGAGACACAGGACAGAGAGAGATCACACAAACGCCTCTGCTTCGCATCCCAGTTCTCCTCACCAAACTCTGGTAAATGAGTGGGAAGCCGGGTGGGCAGCGGTGGAGGTGGGGGCCAGCCCTGCGGCACTGCGCAACAGGGGCAGTTGTGACTGCCAGGATCTGGGGCCGTACCAGCTCGGTAGCCAGAAAGGATTTTTTTTCCTGAGCCCTTCCCTTCTCGAAATGTATGAATGCAGGGTAACTCACAGGTATTCTGGAAAATAAACACACAAACAAACAGCCCCCTCCCCAAAATCCACAAAACAAAATCAAAAGAAACTGCACCATTCCCCTGTCTTCCTCCCTAAACGGAAAGGTCTCTCAGAGACGAGACACTTTATTCCCTCCTCGTACATCAATTTAAAGTCCCTGTTCATGTGGGTCTTCTCTGCGTTCCTTTCCTGGACCTGACATTTGCAAGTCTCGCCACAACTGTGAATCTAGTCCACCTGCCTCATGGCTATTCTGGGTTGTCCACACTGCTGTAGTGGTTACTGAAATGAAAAACAACACAATGGAAAGGGTTAACAACGGCAGCCCACAGAGCCCAGTAAGAACCAAGAATTTTGATGGAAGCAACATTTCTGCTCCGTTTTAAATGCTGAGTGCTATTTCTTGCAAGATACTCTCTTCAAACTGGGAATGTCATAGACAGCAGAATTCAAGGAGCACGGAAGAGCACAGAACGTGTGCGTCAGAGGGAGGAAACAGAGGATTAACGGGATGGTGGGACCATGACAGATAGAGCTCGGAATTGGGAATTAATTCGACTAACAAAAGCCGTTCTCAAGAGTTCTAAAATAAGCACCACTTGCACAAGGCACAAGCAATAGAAAGAAAAGCAGCTCACGGGACAGCAGGCGGAGAAAATCAAAGTGCACACGAACACCTGCAGCGGATTTTTGGCAAGCACAAGAACAGTGAGAAGCCCAGAACCGATGGAGTGACAGTGCAGCAAAGGATGGGCTTGGACGCAGGATCGGACAGATTGCTTAGAGAGATTTTATACTTTTATATTTCAGAGTCCTGGAGAAAGTAAAGACCAAATGGAACCAACGAAGATATCTCCACAGGAACAACGTAAGTGCCTTGTATTTTTCAGTTCAGTGTCGAATGGGCATGGCAATACGTGTATTCCAGTATTACAGTTTTATTCATTTTGTCAGGTGCAAGTGTTTTCCATGCACCACGTGGCAAAACAAAATTAAATTCTTAAGAGCCAGTTACGTGCCGCAGCCCTGCCAAAAGGGAAACAACCACAATTAAAACTGCAGAACGGCTGGCCGTCATGCACAATGACACTTTGGTGATAATGGTATTCTTTATCATTGTTTCTGTATTATTTTGAATTTCCTTACACATCAACTTCCATTTAAAACTGTTTTGACTTGTAATCACACAACTTCCCAGCCCGTTGCTCTGCATGCCAAAGTGATTCTGAGCCCTGTGAGGACAGCAAACCACGTTGTTGTGAGTGCAAGGTTAACTGAGGGCCATGCCAAGCCTGGAAAGTAACCCTGGAAAGAGGCAGCACCAAGCAAGCCAGGGAGAGGAGATCTGCAGCTGTCGCCCACCCCAGTGAATCCAAGAAGGAAGGTAATGCGGAGTGGCCATGCAAGGAAGAAGTAGGCACCGTCCTCCCACAGATGAGTCCAGTTAGATATTCACAGTGGTATTTATGCAAATCCAAAAAGCACTTCCCCAGCCCCGCAGCCTGCCAAATCAGACCCCAGCTGCAGACAACTGCGTAAAAAGCCGCATACCTGCTGTCCCTTTTATTCCTCTCCTCCCAACCACTTCAGTCCCTATGAAGAAGTCTCAGTAACGTGTCTGATAGGTCTCAGCCTGACTCCTCATTCTGCTGGCTCACCCAGTTCTTGGAGATGATGTTCTCTCCGATTATCCTCATCAGTGCACTGCACGGCATTTCTGGGCCCTCCAGACACACAGCGGGCTAGGTAGGCAGAGAAGTCCCAACCATTTGGTGGTGTTCATCACAAGACAAGATTTTCCATCCCAAGGTGGAGACATCACCATTGACATGTTTCTTGTATCTTTCAGTCCCTTTATTTTCTTGTGGTCCTACTTGCGGGTCCCGATGCTCCCGTTGAATAGTTGCTCTGTAGCAGTGTACCACATGTAAAGGAGGTGAGCAGGTCCCAGAATCTCTCTCTATGGCATACCAGATGCCGTAATCTCAACCTCATGCCCGCTGGCAGCATGTTTGTCAGACAGCTTCCCCTGAGACCAAAACTGGAGATACAATCACTTGTATTGCAGATAAAAAAGCAATGTTCACTGTGAAAACAGCGCACAACTGAACCCTGTAACACGTACAGTCCTGTATATAACAATACAAGCTTCTGAAGAACGTAACCCTTATGCAGCGCAGAAAACAGCCTGCCTGAACACCACGGGAACGCTCCCTGCACCGTTAGAGCTGCTGTGCCCCTTGGTTCCCTTACGCGAGAGACCACGACTCCGCTGGGGAGGCAGGGTAAGCGCGTGCCTCCTGTAAGGCTGATCTAACTGGAGCAGCAGTGTATGGGCACTCAGAGGCAAACGTGTGTGCACACAAGATGTGTCACTAGTATCACAGGACAGAACACAGAACATAGTCCCTTTCTGTAAGGAGGACAACTCCAAAGTCATCAGCCATCAGGCAAACCAAAGCTACACTCTGCCCACTGTTGACCCCAGCGCCCAGAAGCAGGAGCTGGAAAGCACATATCAGTGCAGATGCCGGAAGCCACGCGTTGAGACCCTTACACTGGCCACCAAGGAAAGCTCTGTCAGCTGTCCCACGCCTTGCTCGAGCAGACAACGGAGCTTCCGAGTCCCACAGAGAGGTAATTCTCCCCGGTCCGCTCACCAAGCGTGCAGTGTTAGGCTGTATCACAGCGTATTTTCCTCCAGCACAGAGGACAGCATGCAGGGGTTCCTGTTGCCGCACCCATACAAAAGGCAGCACAGAGAAACACAGGGAGACATGCAGGCCAGCAGCATCAGCAAAGTGAGGCAGTGTTAAGGCTGCAGCACTCAGCTCCTGACAGCTACCACAGCTTAGCAATACCCAGGGCCCTCGCTTCAGCCTTGCTTTCACACGCCTACAGGAGCAGAAATTTGTTTTCCTCATTCCAGCCAAATCCGAAAGGTGTCTCCAGCCACAAAGCTGAGTACGTACCAGGGCAGACGCCCCTCCGGTCCCCCCACCTTCCCTCTGCGGCCATCAGCCAAACAAAAGCTGCAGGTGGGCAGTTTCCCCTTTTCAGCCAAACACCCACACGTGTCTCCCAGCCCCACTAACACCCCGCCGTAGCCTGCCCACAGCGAGTGTACAGCATCTTCAGCCCTTTCACTACCAAACAAACGCCAGGGTCTCAACAATGCTGGAGAAACAGATCTGTCCTATCAGCTCAGCTCAAGAATGATCTGACAGATAACATTTATCTGCCCAGTGAATTACCGAGCCACTGCGCATTCCCTGACAAGAAAGAGCAAACGGCTTCACTGACATTATCCGGTAGGAAACTGAGGTTCAGTGAGCTTAAGTAACATCTCTGAGGCCAGTCAGCTGAGCCTGTGGCAGGGCAAACACCAGAACCCAGGACTTCCTGGCGTTCAGCCACACACTCCAACCACCTTGCCTACAGCTTCCTTTGCCACCCAGGATGGACCAGAGCGCCGAAGTCATGTTCCTTAGTTTACCAACCCGCACTTGTAACAGTGCGAATGCGAAGCACAGCTGCAGCCCTGCACACGCACACCCACCTTCACAGCACTAGCCGTCTGTTCTGTCACGCCAGGACACAGCTCCGCTCGCCTGACGCACTGAGCTCAGCTTCTCCTCTTACAGTCCCCAGGATGAAACACGAGCAACCACCATCCCCCACAAACTGCCCCTTCCCCTCATTCCCTGCCTCCCCCCAACACAACCCAGCCAGGGCAAGGATCCCACAGTCTGGGTAACACCATACTCACAGCGAACTTTGTTAGGAGTGGTCTGTTTCCGACGGGACATGTTTCCCCAGCCTGGGAGCACAGAGAGTTCGTTCCCTCAGCAGAGGGCTCACCTGGGGAGAGAAGAGCCTGTCACACACGCTGCTGGGACCTCCTGAGCCTCCTGCAGCTGGCTGTCCCGGGGTCGTTCCCCACTGTTCTGCTACAGGGCTTGTTCTGCATCACCACAGCCACATGCAGTGCCAGCATCCAACGGGACCCACAAGCATTTCACAAACCGCCATGGATGGACAGTCCCACCCCGTTCTCAAGCAAAGTTACAAGGAATCCTGTCCCCAGCGTGCAGAAAGCTGAG